ATGAAATTTCTGATTTCGAACTAATTGGACGTTCCATGCTTAATGACTTAATAATTTCTGTGCGTACAAATAAATATATGTATTTGTATATTTAATTTAATAGATGAATACTGTTATTGGGGTAACGGAGAATCTTATCGAGGTGCTGTGAACACCAGCATTAGCGGTAGACCTTGCTTGAAATGGTCTCATCTATTAATGATTCATAAATACCCTGTTTGGCGACATTCTTATTGTAGAAATCCAAGTGGTCAAGATTTACAACCTTGGTGTTTTGTTGACGCTAATAATAGAATGCAAAAAGAATTTTGTCATATACCTAAATGTGGTAAGTTATTGTACAGTGCATTACACACATACACATACACATATGACTAATCAATTTAATTCAAATTTATCATTTTTATCTTACAGTTGAAAATTTGTGGATTTATGCGGTTGTTGGTTTTGTATTAATGGGAGGGTTTGTTACTATAATTATTTGTTATTGCTGTTGCTACAGAAGTAGAAAATCCAGAAGACAAATGAATCACTTACCCTCGAATAAAGTTAGTATAAAAAGTATTTAATAATCAATAACCTTGAATAATTTTGTATTTTACTAAATATTTGTTGTGTAGATGTTAACTGGAATACAATGCGATAAAAACATATATGATGGAAGACGCAGTACTACGCAACCGATGGAAATGAGTTCTCTTTTAGCTGGACCCGGTAACACGACTCCAGGTACAGGAACATTAAGTAGCGGTAGTAGTAGAACTTCGAATAACAGAGTACCTCAATTTACTACAAACAACGTGGTATTATTACAAGAACTTGGAGAAGGTGCTTTTGGTAAATAAAAAATTTATGTATATATATATAAATTAATTTATATTTTTCATATATATAAAATAATAATATTTTACTTGCATTTTTTTTTACAGGAAAAGTATATAAAGGCGAGCTGCAAACTGGTAATAAATGCGAACCACCAATATACGTTGCCGTAAAAACTCTAAAAGAAAATGCAAGTCCAAAAACACAAAGTGATTTTAAAAGAGAAGTCGATCTCATGACCGATCTTCGACATCCAAATATAATCTGTTTGTTAGGTGTTATATTAAAAGGAGAACCAATGTGTATGTTATTCGAATATATGACGCAAGGAGATTTACATGAATTTTTAATCTGTCATTCACCGAGATCAGATGTTCCATTGAACAATGTAACTGGAAAAATATTAGAACAACCAGAGTTTCTTCATATTGCATTGCAAATAGCTTCTGGTAAATCAAAGCTTATTTCAAATGAAGTCTAATTGATTAGTTTAATTTTTAATTTGTTTTTCATTGAATGATTTTATAGGTATGGAATATTTGGCCAGTCATCACTACGTTCATCGAGATTTAGCTGCTAGAAATTGTTTAGTAGGAGACAACTTGACCGTAAAAATTTCTGATTTTGGATTGTCTCGTGATATTTATAGTAGTGACTATTACAGAGTTCAATCTAAGAGTTTATTGCCAGTTCGATGGATGCCACCTGAGTCAATTTTGTATGGAAAATTCACTACAGAATCAGATGTTTGGAGTTTTGGTGTTGTATTATGGGAAATTTATAGTTATGGGTTACAAGTAAGTAATCATTATTTATACATTTATTTTCGCATACACAATAATTCCTTGCTAATTTTTATATTTTTTTTGTAGCCATATTATGGGTACAACAATCAAGAAGTAATCGACATGATACGTTCTCGTCAATTGCTGCCATGTCCAGAAGATTGTCCAACGATGATCTACAGTTTGATGATAGAATGTTGGCACGAAGTAGCTAATAGAAGGCCACAGTTTCCAGAAATTCATCATCGTCTACACAATTGGTATATGAATCAAACATATTTAAGCGATTTTTGCAACGAATCGATAACCAGTTATTCTGGCAGTAGTCACAAGAGTACGAATAAAACAAATTCCACTCAACTCTCAGCACCAATTTACAAAGGCGATCAAAAGGATCAAATGTTTAAGAGCAACATGGATTCATTGGTATGCAATTTAAATGATCACAATAATGCCATGAAGTTACATCAACAAAACTTTTCAAACGTTGTTGAATCGATCGAACAAAGATCTGCTTGTATCTTTAACGAACATAGTACACCAGCAAAGACTGTTAATTACCAACCTCCAAATACAAATATTAATTTAAACGACTACGATGAGAAACAGTGTTGCTCACCTAAACTAAGTGGCGCAAAGAAAGTTTTACCTTCTGTTCCTCAACCAATAATAGGTAAAACAAACGCGTCTAATGGCACGAGACCAATGCAAAACGGTGCACAATTAGTTGTCAGGTTACCAGATCCGAGCAAAGTTACAACTGAAACCAGGGTATCTAAGTGAAAATAAAATGATTATTTCTAAAAGACTTATAACAGAGAAGACACATTTTTATTATAATGCATTTATATGTTTTCACAAGCAAAGTGAAATCACATTTGAAATAAGTCAACATTTGATCCGATGAATTCATGATCATATATATATCATGTGATATTTTATAAATTATATTTACTTAGCTCCTGTAAAATGACTCGAGTTTTTTTTTTTTCTATTTTTTTTCGTTTATTGTCATCTTTTTTATAACGCGAATATTTCGCGTTATCCCAGTGATTGTATTCAGGAGAAATATTTTAACTTAACACACTCCTACCACGGAAAATTTTTAAATTCGTATATAAATTTTGAATAATTAATTTTAATTCATATTAAATATTTTTCTGTATAAAATTTTGAACGACTTTTATATCATAATAATTAATGATACAAATTTTATTAGA